AACAGAGTAACGGCCCCTCACTTGTAACAACAGAGTAACGACCCCTCACTTGTAACAACAGAGTAACGGCCCCTCACTTGTAACAACAGAGTAACGACCCCTCACTTGTAACAACAGAGTAACGACCCCTCACTTGTAACAACAGAGTAACGACCCCTCACTTGTAACAAAAGAGTAACGACCCCTCACTTGTAACAACAGAGTAACGACCCCTCACTTGTAACAAAAGAGTAACGACCCCTCACTTGTAACAACAGAGTAACGACCCCTCACTTGTAACAACAGAGTAACGACCCCTCACTTTTAACAACAGAGTAACGGCCATCACTTGTAACAACAGAGTAACGACCCCTCACTTGTAACAACAGAGTAACGGCCATCACTTGTAACAACAGAGTAACGACCCCTCACTTGTAACAACAGAGTAACGGCCCCTCACTTGTAACAACAGAGTAACGACCCCTCACTTGTAACAACAGAGTAACGACCCCTCACTAGTAACAACAGAGTAACGACCCCTCACTAGTAACAACAGAGTAACGACCCCTCACTTGTAACAACAGAGTAACGACCCCTCACTTGTAACAACAGAGTAACGACCCCTCACTTGTAACAACAGAGTAACGACCCCTCACTAGTAACAACAGTGTAACGACCCCTCACTTGTAACAACAGAGTAACGACCCCTCACTTGTAACAACAGTGTAACGACCCCTCACTTGTAACAACAGTGTAACGACCCCTCACTTGTAACAACAGTGTAACGACCCCTCACTTGTAACAACAGTGTAACGACCCCTCACTTGTAACAACAGTGTAACGACCCCTCACTTGTAACAACAGAGTAACGACCCCTCACTTGTAACAACAGAGTAACGACCCCTCACTTGTAACAACAGAGTAACGACCCCTCACTTGTAACAACAGAGTAACGACCCCTCACTTGTAACAACAGAGTAACGACCCCTCACTTGTAACAACAGTGTAACGACCCCTCACTTGTAACAACAGAGTAACGACCCCTCACTTGTAACAACAGAGTAACGACCCCTCACTTGTAACAACAGAGTAACGACCCCTCACTTGTAACAACAGAGTAACGACCCCTCACTTGTAACAACAGAGTAACGACCCCTCACTTGTAACAACAGAGTAACGACCCCTCACTTGTAACAACAGAGTAACGACCCCTCACTTGTAACAACAGAGTAACGACCCCTCACTAGTAACAACAGAGTAACGACCCCTCACTTGTAACAACAGAGTAACGACCCCTCACTTGTAACAACAGTGTAACGACCCCTCACTTGTAACAACAGAGTAACGACCCCTCACTTGTAACAACAGTGTAACGACCCCTCACTTGTAACAACAGTGTAACGACCCCTCACTTGTAACAACAGAGTAACGACCCCTCACTTGTAACAACAGAGTAACGACCCCTCACTTGTAACAACAGAGTAACGACCCCTCACTTGTAAACAGAGTAACGACCCCTCACTTGTAACAACAGTGTAACGACCCCTCACTTGTAACAACAGAGTAACGACCCCTCACTTGTAACAACAGAGTAACGACCCCTCACTTGTAACAACAGAGTAACGACCCCTCACTTGTAACAACAGAGTAACGACCCCTCACTTGTAACAACAGAGTAACGGCCCCTCACTTGTAACAACAGAGTAACGACCCCTCACTTGTAACAACAGAGTAACGACCCCTCACTTGTAACAACAGAAGTACACGACCCCTCACTTGTAACAACAGAGTAACGACCCCTCACTTGTAACAACAGAGTAGTAACGACCCCTCACTTGTAACAACAGAGTAACGACCCTCACTTGTAACAACAGAGTAACGACCCCTCACTTGTAACAACAGAGTAACGACCCCTCACTTGTAACAACAGAGTAACGACCCCTCACTTGTAACAACAGAGTAACGACCCCTCACTTGTAACAACAGAGTAACGACCCCTCACTTGTAACAACAGAGTAACGGCCCCTCACTTGTAACAACAGAGTAACGACCATCACTATTGTTCACTCATTAAGTTTTCTAATCAACTTTCTTTACAACTTTCACTATAATATGCAATCAAGTATTTTTTTTAACAATTTATGGTGCCAAGATATCTATCTCAAGCGGGATCTATTTATTCACTTGCGATCTTTCATGTCGTTATCATGGCTCCTCTATATTTATTTCCACCGTCTCCTGTCTTCCCTTAATTAGTAATTTGAAATCTGGAATTCCCATGTGTTATTTTTATTTAATAAAGCAAAAATGCATTAACTTAAAGTCTACAAGTATTAAAAGTCTTAATAAAGATTAGAGGTATTTAAAGTCTTAATAAAGACTAGAAGTATTAAAAGTCTTAATAAAGATTAGAGGTATTTAAAGTCTTAATAAAGACTAGAAGTATTTAAAGTCTTAATAAAGACTAGAAGTATTAAAAGTCTTAATAAAGACTAGAAGTATTAAAAGTCTTAATAAAGACTAGAAGTATTTAAAGTCTTAATAAAGACTAGAAGTATTAAAAGTCTTAATAAAGACTAGAAGTATTAAAAGTCTTAATAAAGACTAGAAGTATTAAAAGTCTTAATAAAGACTAGAAGTATTTAAAGTCTTAATAAAGACTAGAAGTATTAAAAGTCTTAATAAAGACTAGAAGTATTTAAAGTCTTAATAAAGACTAGAAGTATTTAAAGTCTTAATAAAGACTAGAAGTATTAAAAGTCACTTTAAATTTAAAAGACTAGAAGTTTTTAAAGTCTTAATAAAGACTAGGAAATTTTATAAGAAGTATTAATAAAAAGACTAGAAGTATTTAAAGTCTTAATAAAGACTAGAAGTATTAAAAGTCTTAATAAAGATTAGAAGTATTAAAAGTCTTAATAAAGACTAGAAGTATTAAAAGTCTTAATAAAGACTAGAAGTATTAAAAGTTTTAATAAAGACTAGAAGTATTAAAAGTCTTAATAAAGACTAGAAGTATTAAAAGTCTTAATAAAGACTAGAAGTATTTAAAGTCTTAATAAAGACTAGAAGTATTTAAAGTCTTAATAAAGACTAGAAGTATTTAAAGTCTTAATAAAGACTAGAAGTATTTAAAGTCTTAATAAAGACTAGAAGTATTAAAAGTCTTAATAAAGACTAGAAGTATTTAAAGTCTTAATAAAGACTAGAAGTATTAAAAGTCTTAATAAAGACTAGAAGTATTTAAAGTCTTAATAAAGACTAGAAGTATTAAAAGTCTTAATAAAGACTAGAAGTATTAAAAGTTTTAATAAAGACTAGAAGTATTAAAAGTCTTAATAAAGACTAGAAGTATTAAAAGTCTTAATAAAGACTAGAAGTATTAAAAGTCTTAATAAAGACTAGAAGTATTTAAAGTCTTAATAAAGACTAGAAGTATTAAAAGTCTTAATAAAGACTAGAAGTATTTAAAGTCTTAATAAAGACTAGAAGTATTAAAAGTCTTAATAAAGACTAGAAGTATTTAAAGTCTTAATAAAGACTAGAAGTATTAAAAGTCTTAATAAAGACTAGAAGTATTTAAAGTCTTAATAAAGACTAGAAGTATTTAAAAGTCTTAATAAAGACTAGAAGTATTAAAAGTCTTAATAAATACTAGAAGTATTTAAAGTCTTAATAAAGACTAGAAGTATTTAAAGTCTTAATAAAAGACTAGAAGTATTAAAAGTCTTAATAAAGACTAGAAGTATTTAAAGTCTTAATAAAGACTAGAAGTATTTAAAGTCTTAATAAAGACTAGAAGTATTAAAAGTCTTAATAAAGACTAGAAGTATTAAAAGTCTTAATAAAGACTAGAAGTATTTAAAGTCTTAATAAAGACTAGAAGTATTAAAAGTCTTAATAAAGACTAGAAGTATTAAAAGTCTTAATAAAGACTAGAAGTATTTAAAGTCTTAATAAAGACTAGAAGTATTTAAAGTCTTAATAAAGACTAGAAGTATTAAAAGTCTTAATAAAGACTAGAAGTATTAAAAGTCTTAATAAAGACTAGAAGTATTAAAAGTCTTAATAAAGACTAGAAGTATTAAAAGTCTTAATAAAGACTAGAAGTATTTAAAGTCTTAATAAAGACTAGAAGTATTTAAAGTCTTAATAAAGACTAGAAGTATTAAAAGTCTTAATAAAGACTAGAAGTATTAAAAGTCTTAATAAAGACTAGAAGTATTTAAAGTCTTAATAAAGACTAGAAGTATAAAAGTCTTAATAAAGACTAGAAGTATTTAAAGTCTTAATAAAGACTAGAAGTATTAAAAGTCTTAATAAAGACTAGAAGTATTAAAAGTCTTAATAAAGACTAGAAGTATTTAAAGTCTTAATAAAGACTAGAAGTATTTAAAGTCTTAATAAAGACCAGAAGTATTTAAAGTCTTTATAAAGGCCTTAACAAAGGCCTTAACAAAGGCCTTAATAAAGGCCTTAACCAAAGTTTTAATAAAGGCCTTAACAAAGGCCTTAATAAAGACCTTAATAAAGGTCTTAATAAAGGCCTTAACAAAGGCCTTAACAAAGGCCTTAACAAAGGCCTTAATAAAGGCCTTAACAAAGGCCTTAATAAAGGCCTTAACAAAGGCCTTAATAAAGGCCTTAACAAAGACCTTAATAAAGGCCTTAACAAAGGCCTTAATAAAGGCCTTAACAAAGGCCTTAATAAAGGCCTTAACAGAGGCCTTAATAAAGGCCTTAACAAAGGCCTTAATAAAGGCCTTAATAAAGGCCATAATAAAGGCCATAATAAAGACCATAACAAAGGCTATAATAAAGGCCTTTGTTTATTAATATATTAGAGAAAGATGACCAAAAAAAGCCATTTTGGGGGTATTTTAAGTTTTTATTCAGTAATAATGTACATTTAAAAGGCTTGAGAAAAATGGCAGAACATCGGAACTAGACACGACACAGAAGGCAGCACCAACACGCAGCTTCACGAACAGGTACGACGGGGCGCAGAGTGTATATGTGTGTGTGCGTGTGTGTGTGAATACTGCCGTGCAGGGCCAGGAGCTGTGACTCGACCCCCTGCCACCGCAGATAGGACATCACACTCAGTATCCTGTGCAGGGAAGAGATTATCGTTAGGACCGGCTGGCTTACCGCAGATCCGGCTCCTCGGATCAAGAGCCCTTCATAGGTATCATTATTATTAATAATAATATTTCGATTATATTTTCGTAAAAATATTATTAAACTTTATTGCTTTTGAGATTTGTTAATAATAATGTTAATAATAATAATAATAATAATAATATAATAATAAATAATAATAATAATAATAATAATAATAAAATTTTATAATAAAAATTAAAATAATAATAATAATAATAATAATAATAATAATAATAATAATAATAATTATTATATTATTATTATTATTATTATTATTATTATTATTATTATTATTAAAAAATAATATTAATAATAATAATAATAATAATAATAATAATTATTATTATTATTATTATTATTATTATTATTATTATTATTATTATAATAATAATAACAATTATAATAACTCAAACAGCAAATAAAGTGAACTATAGGCATCATAATAATCTGGTTGATAACTTACACCTACCATAGCCGAATCCACCGTATCCACCGTATCCACCACCGTAGCCACCGTATCCGCCACCGTATCCACCGTAACCGAAGCCGCCGTAGCCGCCGTAGCCACCGTACCTCCTGTAGCCGTATCCGAATCCTGGCCCCCCGAAGCCGCCGAAGAAGCCGGGTTCAGGAGCTGGAGACGCAGTGACCGCTGTCATCACCACCACCAACACCACCAACAACATTACCTGTGGCAGGAGGTGGTAGAAATAATAATAATAATTAATAATAATAATAATAATAATAATAATAATAATAATAATAATAATAATAATAATAATAATAAAAATAATAATAATAATAATAATAATAATAATAATAATAATAATAATATGCTGAGAATTTCCCGCAAATTAGGTCACTTTTGTCCCAGGATGCGACCCACACCAGTCTACTAACACCCAGGTACCTACTTACGACTAGGTGAACAGGGACAGAATATAGAGATTTGTGAATGAAGCGAGACACAGGTATACACGAGGTATACATCAAGTATATCTTAGACGAATGTCCCTGGACAGTATCCAGTATACATGTCCTCTGTGTATGCAGTTATGTCCCTTAATCCATATTTTTGTATCAAAAAATTAGGTCAGGTAAGGTTTGTCAGGAAACAGGAAAAGTGTTTCCTGACGCGGGTCTTAGTCATATGATAACTCGCAGCTGGAGGTTTTGGTGATCTGTCCGAGGCCTTCCACTGGCTTACCCCCCACCCCTTTAAAAATTATAGTCGTTAAGCATTATATCAAAAACCGAAGTATTAGAAGAATTAGACACTTTAGCAAAATTTGGGAATGTTTATTGAGGAAACGTTTCGCCAGCCAGTGGCGTCTTCAGTCCAATACAGAGAAGAATGGTGGAAGATGAGGAGGAGAATAGGGTAATCAGTCCCTCAATGGACTCCAGGCTGAGGGACTGATTACATAAGAACATAAGAAAGGAGGAACACTGCAGTAGGCCTGTTGACCCATACTTGGCAGGTCCTTTACAATACCAACCCACTAACACAACATTTACACAACCGAACACCTGTTCATCTTCCACCTTTCTTCTCTGTATTGGACTGAAGACGCCACTGGCTGGCAAAACGTCGTCTCAGTAAACATTCCGAAATGCTGGACTAGTATCTCATTCATAATACAATATACTCACCATTCTAAGAGACATGTTGGTGTTACGTGAGACGTTGTTACGTTAAGAGAAGCTTCAGCTGTGTTGTGGTGATGCTGCCTCCGCAGAGTGTGTATATATACATGGTGGTGATGCATTCACTTCACCTGCGGCTCTTACACTCACTAGGGTGTAGCGGCTTCGATACAGAAAGGTCGGGTAAAGAAAGGGAGGATATAGAAAGGGGGGGGTTACTTGTCCCTCCCGAGGCTAAGGGTGGGGAACATTCACATGCTGAGAGAGTTGGGGAGGGGTGTGTGTGTGTGTGTGTGTGTGCCTGTGCTCACCTAGTTGTGGTTGCAGGAGACGTGTCACAGCTCCTGGCCCTGCCTCTTCACTGTCGCTACTAGGTTACTCTCCCTGCTCCACGAGTTTTATCATACCTCTTCTGTGTGTGTGTGTGTGTGTGTGTGTGTGTGTGTGTGTGTGTGTGTGTGTGAAAGAGAGAGAGAAAGAGAGCAGTTCGCTGGGCCATCTCAACTCTAATATTAGTGATTGACAGAATGATGGTGAAAGTATTTCCTCTCTTTTCGAGACGCCTCACCTCGGCTCCTGCGTTAAAAACAATTTAACTTTACCATCTTAGATTTGCTTGTCAAATCTCGCGTTTCCTCTCATCTTTTCAAGGGGTGGAGGGGTAAGCCAGTGGAAGGCCTCGGTCAGATGACCAAAAGCTCTAGTTGCGGGTCATCATATGACTAAGACCCACGTCAGGAAACACTTGTCCTGTTTCCTGACAAACCTTACCTAACCTTACCTAACCTAACCTAACCTAACCTTACTCAGCCTAATCTAACCTAACCTAACCTAACCTTACTTAACCTAACCTAACCTAACCTAACCTAACCTTACTTAGCCTAACCTAACCTAACCTAAACTAACCTAACCTAACTAACCTAACCTTGCAACGAGAGAGAATTTCTAATTCCTTCAATTTTTTGATGACACCAAAATAGGCCGTCCAATTCATTCTAATGAGGACACTAGAGCACTCCAGGATGATTTGGATAGACTGATGCAATGGCCGGAGAAGTGGCAGATGCAGTTTAATATTGACAAATGCAAAGTTCTAAATGTTGGACAGGAAAATAACCATGCCACATATAAACTAAATAATGTAGATCTTAATACTGTGTACGAAATGGTACGAAAGGGATTTAGGAGTTCTGGTTAGCAGTAATCTAAAACCAAGACAACTGTGCATTAGTGTTCGCAATAAAGCTAACAGAATTCTTGGCTTCATATCTAGAAGTATAAATAATAGAAGTCCTCAGGTTGTTCTTCAACTCTATATGTCCTTGGTTAGGCCTCATTTAGACTATGCTGCACAGTTCTGGTCACCGTATTACAGAATGGATATAAATGCTCTGGAAAACGTACAGAGGAGGATGACGAAGATGATCCCATGTACAGTGCATAAGTGTTCGCAATAAAGCTAATAGAATCCTTGGCTTCATATCAAGAAGCATAAATAATAGGAGTCCTCAGGTTGTTCTTCAACTCTATACATCCTTGGTTAGGCCTCATTTAGATTATGCTGCACAGTTTTGGTCACCGTATTACAGAATGGATATAAATTCTCTGGAAAATGTACAAAGGAGGATGACAAAGTTGATCCCATGTATCAGAAACCTTCCCTATGAGGATAGACTAAGGGCCCTGAATCTGCACTCTCTAGAAAGACGTAGAATTAGGGGGGATATGATTGAGGTGTATAAATGGAAGACAGGAATAAATAAAGGGATGTAAATAGTGTGCTGAAAATATCTAGCCTAGACAGGACTCGCAGCAATGGTTTTAAGTTGGAAAAATTCAGATTCAGGAAGGATATAGGAAAGTACTGGTTTGGTAATAGAGTTGTGGATGAGTGGAACAAACTCCCAAGTACCGTTATAGAGGCCAGAACGTTGTGTAGCTTTAAAAATAGGTTGGATAAATACATGAGTAGATGTGGGTGGGTGTGAGTTAGACCTGATAGCTTGTGCTACCAGGTCGGTTGCCGTGTTCCTCCCTTAAGTCAATGTGACCTGACCTGACTAGATGAACATCAAAATGGTATACACTACCGACAGGTTGTTAGGTAAGACACATATGCAACAGTTAGACAACTTTATTCCGAAACGTTTCGCCTACACAGTAGGCTTCTTCAGTCGAATACAGAAAGTAGGCAGGAACAGTAGAGATGTGAAGACGATGTAATCAGTCCATCACCCTTAAAGTCGTAGAATTTGAGGTTGTCAGTCCCTCGGCCTGGAGAAGTTCAGTTCCATAGTCAGGAACTATCTGAAGATCAAGCGACAGTGCGGAGACTTAAATACTGTCGGAAGGAGAGATGCAGGGTAGTAGTAGTAGTAGTAGTAGTAGTAGTGAGAGGCAACTGAGAGGTCATGTCCCTCTCAGATCCAACCCTTCTCACTTGAAAAGCTTGTCCAAGGTGTTTTCTGTACCAAGATGCCACGTGTTGCAGTGTCTGACAAGATGAACATCAAAATGGTATACACTACCGACAGGTTGTTAGGTAAGACACATATGCAACAGTTAGACAACTTTATTCCGAAACGTTTCGCCTACACAGTAGGCTTCTTCAGTCGAATACAGAAAGTAGGCAGGAACAGTAGAGATGTGAAGACGATGTAATCAGTCCATCACCCTTAAAGTCGTAGAATTTGAGGTTGTCAGTCCCTCGGCCTGGAGAAGTTCAGTTCCATAGTCAGGAACTATCTGAAGATCAAGCGACAGTGCGGAGACTTAAATACTGTCGGAAGGAGAGGTGCAGGGTAGTAGTAGTAGTAGTAGTAGTAGTAGTGAGAGGCAACTGAGAGGTCATGTCCCTCTCAGATCCAACCCTTCTCACTTGAAAAGCTTGTCCAAGGTGTTTTCTGTACCAAGATGCCACGTGTTGCAGTGTCTGACAAGATGAACATCAAAATGGTATACACTACCGACAGGTTGTTAGGTAAGACACATATGCAACAGTTAGACAACTTTATTCCGAAACGTTTCGCCTACACAGTAGGCTTCTTCAGTCGAATACAGAAAGTAGGCAGGAACAGTAGAGATGTGAAGACGATGTAATCAGTCCATCACCTTAAAGTCGTAGAATTTGAGGTTGTCAGTCCCTCGGCCTGGAGAAGTTCAGTTCCATAGTCAGGAACTATCTGAAGATCAAGCGACAGTGCGGAGACTTAAATACTGTCGGAAGGAGAGGTGCAGGGTAGTAGTAGTAGTAGTAGTAGTAGTAGTAGTGAGAGGCAACTGAGAGGTCATGTCCCTCTCAGATCCAACCTTCTCACTTGAAAAGCTTGTCCAAGGTGTTTTCTGTACCAAGATGCCACGTGTTGCAGTGTCTGACAAGATGAACATCAAAATGGTATACACTACCGACAGGTTGTTAGGTAAGACACATATGCAACAGTTAGACAACTTTATTCCGAAACGTTTCGCCTACACAGTAGGCTTCTTCAGTCGAATACAGAAAGTAGGCAGGAACAGTAGAGATGTGAAGACGATGTAATCAGTCCATCACCCTTAAAGTCGTAGAATTTGAGGTTGTCAGTCCCTCGGCCTGGAGAAGTTCAGTTCCATAGTCAGGAACTATCTGAAGATCAAGCGACAGTGCGGAGACTTAAATACTGTCGGAAGGAGAGGTGCAGGGTAGTAGTAGTAGTAGTAGTAGTAGTAGTGAGAGGCAACTGAGAGGTCATGTCCCTCTCAGATCCAACCCTTCTCACTTGAAAAGCTTGTCCAAGGTGTTTTCTGTACCAAGATGCCACGTGTTGCAGTGTCTGACAAGATAGTTCCTGACTATGGAACTGAACTTCTCCAGGCCGAGGGACTGACAACCTCAAATTCTACGACTTTAAGGGTGATGGACTGATTACATCGTCTTCACATCTCTACTGTTCCTGCCTACTTTCTGTATTCGACTGAAGAAGCCTACTGTGTAGGCGAAACGTTTCGGAATAAAGTTGTCTAACTGTTGCATATGTGTCTTACCTAATGACCTGACTAGGTTGGGTGCATTGGCTTAAGCCGGCAGGAGACTTGGACCTGCCTCGCATGGGCCAGTAGGCCTTCTGCAGTGTTCCTTCGTTCTTATGTTCTTATGTTCTTATCAGAAATCTTCCCTATGAGGATAGACTGAGGCCCTGAATCTGCACTCTCTCGAAAGGCGTAGAATTACGGAGGATATGATCGAGGTGTATAAATGGAAAACAGGAATAAATAAAGGGGGTGTAATTTCGTGCGGAAAAATTTTCCCGCAAGAAAAGGACTCGTACAATGGTTTTTAAGTTGAAAAAAAATCAGATTCAGGAAGGGAAAAAAAAGTACTGGTTTGGTAATAAAGTTGTGGGGTGAGTGGAAAAAACTTCCCCCGGGTTCAATCCCGGGCCCGGGGGTATGGTTTTTTTTTGCAAACGTGTCATTACATTTCTTAAGCAAGTCAAACTTCCGGAACCCGGTTTTTAGGGGCCCAAAACATTGCGTGTTTTAAAAAAAAAGTTTGATAAAAACAGAGTGGGGGGTGGGGGGGTAATTGGGCCTGACCAGCTCCCATGGGGCAGTAGGCCTTTTCCGTGTTTCCTTCTTTTTTATATTCTTTTGTTCAATATTTTTTATAGAATGTCTAAATTTCCCCAAAACCCATGGAAAACCTTTTCTAAATTTCCCTTTCCCCCATTTTTCCCCCTCTATTTCACCCGCTTTTTTTAGAAAAGGAAAACATTTACAAATTTAATAAAAATACCTCTTTCAAAAACTACAATATAAACCAGATTTTGATTCTGGGGGGGAATTTAAAAGTAAAAAATACATCGCCAATTGAACAAAAGGGTTTAAAGAACTTTTTATTTTTTAATTCAGATGAGTTTTAAACGCATTTTCAAAGAAAATCCCGCAAAGGGTTTTAAAAACTTTTTAGAGATTACTGTATTAATTTTTGGGTGAACCAGGGGGGGATTTTTTTGTTTTTTTTTTCAAAAACCCATAGTCTCTCCTTTTCAATTTTTAAAAATTTTGGGATGTAATCTCTTTTTAATTTCCCCCCATTTTTCCTTTTGATTTGATCTTCCTTTTAATCCCTCCAGATCTTTCTGGATATAATCCTAAATAAAATTTCCCCCCGATTTTTTCCCACG